GTTTGAAGGTCAGGGCTGTAGCAACTGATGGTGGGGTGGGAGAGTGCCCGTTTCTCCTAAATTTTTACCAATTGCAGTATTATTTACAGGGTTTTATTTTAATAAAATACAGTAAAAAAAAAATCTATCAAAGCAAGGAAGAATATAACTTTCATAAAACCCCACGAAAGAATTTTCTTTAAGGCTATACAATGATGGTAGTTTCCTTTTATCATGTGGGTTCGTTTTTCATTTTAATTTGGAATTGTGGTGAGTCCAATAAAATAAAATATTAAAATAAAAATGAAAAGTTCTTTCATTTGTAACAAAGATGGTTCTCTATTATTTCAAAGATGATTTCTGCCAATCTAAGGGTGCTAGAAATTTTAAATGTTCTTGCTGCTAACCATGTTGGGGGACTTTGATAACCCCCACTTCAAAAACAAAAATTTGTCTCTGCTACATCTCTGAAGGTTGCTTGCCTAAGCAGTGAAGCTGCTCCCTGTGGCAATCAGATTGAATTTATGGTTTAATACAGCCAGAGTACACACCCCAATGCAAAAATGCTTATTGTGTTAGAATTATATAATATTGTTGTCCTGCTGAAAAAAATAACAACATAATGGGAATCTCTGTTACAATATACATTAAATAAGAACTTGAACTAAAAATGTAATTATTCATTGAAATGAAAATTATAAGAAATGTGAAGATATATATAAATATTTACCTTATCATTTAAGTATTAATAATAAAAAAATATTATTTAAGTAAAAAATGAAATACAATTTTTCAAACTCAAGAACGCTCAAGAATTAACAAGAAGAGTGAAAAAACAGATGTCAAAATTGCTACAACTGAAAGAGAGAAAAAGTATAAAAACAATAAGGAGGGAGTATAAAAAGAAAGGAAAAGCAATGAAAAGGATAAATAGCCACAACATTCTACATACACATACTTACATACACCACCCCTACACACATACACAATGAAAGGAAAAAAAAGACCTTACATCAATGAAAAGTGCATATGTAAGAAAAAAAATGAGAAAATAAACAGTCAATTGCTGATATCTCCTGATGAGTACACAGTGATTGCTGGTGGATCTGTTTACAAAACTAGAGTTGGAATGCTGAAGGTAACACCAATCAGCTAAGTGTGAGTAAAGGAAAAAGGCAATAGGAAAACTGTAGTTTTAGCCAACATGTTTCGTCCAATATGGATTTTTTCAAGGTAAAAGACAAAATGAATTTATTGAAATTTGCCTTGAAAAAGTCCACATTGGACGAAACACGTTGGCTAAAACTACAGTTTTCCTATTGTCTTTTTCCACAGGTTAATTCTGAGAATTTTTTACATATATATATATATATATATATATACATACTGGGTGCGATGGGTAAATTGTCGCCATTTTATATTTTAAATTTCGCACATCTCTGTTGTTTGCTTTTGATTTTGTTGACTGCACAGTATAGTAGGGTCGTTTGGGCACCATCTGAGAAAATGAGCACTATGGCGCAATTCACTCTGCCAGAAATTTGGAAACAGCACTTTGTACTGCTTGGCATTCGCACTGGAAAATCCAATATGAACATTTCAGTGTGTTTGGGTGTCAATCTGAGAACAGTGCAGAGGATTTAGAAAGAATTGGATGGGTCTAATGATGATTTCAAAGGTGTTTTGAGTGATCACTAGTGATGGCAACATTATGCCTCCATTCATCTTTCCACAGGACCTCAGAATCAACATGGAGGTCTACATCAAGTGCTTTGAGGACGTAGTACTGCCCTGGGTCAAGGGAGTGGCTGTTGCAAGACCCTATGTTTGGCAACAGGACTCTGCACCATGCCCCACAAGCAGGAGAACCCAGTCATGGCTGCCAGACAATTTCTGCAACCACATCACCCCATGCATCTAGCCACCTAATTCCCCAAACTGTAACACCTTTGATTATTATGTGTGGGATGCAGTTGAGACCAACAAAACTCCTTGTAACACCAAAGATGAACTGAAGGCAAAGATTATAGCAGCAGTCATCAAATTAAACAAGGAGACTGTCCAGAAGAGTTGCAAGAGATTCTGAAGTCATCAGGAGACCATGGTTGAAGCCAATAGCAATTTTATTGAATAAATTTACTCTTTACTATTTCAAGATTATTTTTGTGCAATTTTGGTAAATATATTTGTTAAATATGTCAGTGTTATTTTCATTTTTGCATAATATAGATGACAATTTATCCACCACACCCTCTGTGTGTGTATGTGTGTGTCTGAAGAAGACAATGTAACATTTGCCTCCCACAACAACTGCGCCACATCACATGCTACACACACTCATTGAGTCAGGAGAGTAGTGGGAGGCAGCAAAAGAAACAAGTTGCCATGTAGGAACTATGAGTACTTTAAACATTTAGGAGTAACAAAAACTCCACGTAACTAACACAGGGTTAAGCAAGAAAAGTGCTGTGCCCTGGCTATCAATAAGTTTCTAGAGTTAGATGAGAGTTGATTACACCACGCATCCTACCAGAGTTTATGCCTCAGGCTTTATTGCATGACAAGTCACCATTTGAATGTGTTGTTTACAACATTATGAAAGATGTAAAACATTATCTGGATACTGGTATATCAGATATATTTGGTCTAGAATCTGACCATCTTTTCTCTGAATTAGAAAATACAAAGAGGATTAGGATCATCTCAAATGCCCAAGAATTCTTTTTTCAGCGTATCACTTTCAAAACTGAATTAATATGCCTCACTCTGTATGATTTTCACAAGGCAACTTGTTTGTTTGTTCCTTACTAATTCATACAATACAAGACCCAATTCAAGATAGTTACTTCATGAGGTGTGTGTAAGAGGAGGTCGAAGTGAAGATTATGAGGATAAGATGGATAGGTAATGATTGACCCTTGAAAGAAGAGGTTAAGATTGAAGTGTTTAAAAAAGCATTCACACAGTACAAGGCCCGAGAGTCCCACAAGATGGAGTTACTTAATGGAAAAATCCACCTCCCTGCATTAATCATTAATACACACATACAAAACACACACAAGAAACAAATCAACTTAACACCAATAAATAATGCATAAATTATTTTTTTAAATGAGAAAATTGGAAGTCAGTTGCTGAAACCTGATATGTAGACTGAACAATTGCAAAAATGTCTGTCTATAAATCTATAGAGTTGGGGTACTGAATATAACATCAATCAGCTAAGTGACAAATTTTATATTTGTATTAATCATATATATATATATATATATATATATATATATATATAATGTTTAGAAAAATAGTATGACAAATTGGAATTTGTCTAGATTGAAAAAGTATTCTTTCAAAAATTTTAAAACTACCATCATCTCTTGTTTCATGTACATGTGTAGGCATGGCAACATTAATGAAGCCCAGTCCGATGAAAACTCAACAGATGAAACATATCGGAAAAACTTTTTTCAAAATTTTTCATACTATCTTTCTAAATACTGTTTGTTGATATATAAAATTATACAAAATTATATATCGTCATTTCATATATATATAAATTAATATAAGTAAAAGTTTTGTCACTTAGCTGATTGATGTTACCTTCAGCATCCCAACTCCAGATTTTCGTAGACGGATCCTCCAGGAATCACTCCAACTACTTTTCAAGGGTTATCAGCAATTGACTGATTTTACTTTGTGATTTTTATTTTTCATATGCACTTTTCATTAGTGCATGTGTGGATGCACTCGTATGTGCATACATATAGAATGCTGTGGTTTTTTTAGCTTTTTCATTGTTTTGTCTTTATTTGCTTTTTGGGGGTTTTTTTTTTTTCACTTTACATTCACGCCTTATTGTTTTTTTACCTTTTCTTTTTCCTCTTTTCTTTCAAATGTAGCCATTTTGACCTCCGGTTTCCCAGACATATACTGTTGTTGTTAATTCTAGTGTTTTCTTGATATATATACCCACACATATGCACAGGCAGTGATCAGGATTTCCAGACCTAAATAAAGGATATGTTCATAAAAATATAGATGCTATGGCAACCATAGTAAAATATGGTCTTATTCCTTAAAAATGCCAGCATTTAAATAGAAATTCATCTTAGCTGGAGTGCAAAAAGAACTTTGACATCAAGCTCAGAAAACTTCTTTTTTTCATGAAAGTAACTTCATCATTGAGATATGCAGGTGGTATAATAGAATATCTTGGCTACTCATAGGGATATGTCGGCCCATAAAAATGAACAGGGAATTATCAATGCACTTCTATAATACATTGACTTCAATATAATGGCCATATAGATTTTTATCGGCTCTTATACATTACCAATTTTTTTTTGTAACCTGCTGGAATAAAAAGTTTTGATTCTTGAACCTAGAGCTGAAAATATTTCACTTCATCATTTTGTTCGCTCAGTGCCTCTTATTTGTCTTCTGAGATAAAGAATTACTGTTGAACTATTTGGAACCTATACTGTCAGACATTTTTCAGGTCTTATTTTGTAACTCTAAGAATTTCAAACTGAACGATTTCTTTACTCAATTTATTCTAACTTTGTTTCACAGGGGCTAATGTGCCTGCTATTTTTTTTCATTGAACCTCAGTATATAATTTTCACTGTTTGATTCAGTGAATGAACTTCTGACCACCTGATAACTAGATAAACTTAATCAGCAGCTTTATCCACAATCAGCTGGTGGAATTTTGGAGCTTTAAGCTCATCTTAAACTTTCCTCATCAAAGGCTTTTATGTGGTGATCATTTCACTGCTGGGCCTGCTGATATGAGACTGATTTATTCAATCACCTTATTTTCCACTGCTGTTTTATACTATTCTAAGTTAATTCTCCATAGTTACTTCCACGCCCTATTCCTGTCTCCAGCAACATATTCTTTAGTTGACTTATTTAGTACTTGCATACCAGAAGTAGATTTCTGGTCTACATCTTATGTGATCTTTTGTAAGCAGTATGTTGGGTCCTTTTGTTTTTATTTGTTTATTTTATTGTTGTTGTAGGTGAAAGCAAAAAAGTTCAATAAGAATGAAGTAAGACACATGTGCCAACTAAATGATATGAACATCTGTAAGATCTATGGTTTGGTCTGCAAGACTGATGAATATCATATTTACATGGAATACTGTGGTAGGTATCAGTATATTTTATAATTTTAATTTGATCCTCTAAATGAAAAATATACAATGGAAATTGCTAACTCTTTATACAGTGGCATCATCCAATGCTTTTAGAAAAGGCATGAATCTTTTCCTTCTCTCTCTCTCCTAAGCCATGGGTTAAATAGTAAGGGAAACTGGGCTCTCTAGCCTTAGGTGATATCTAGTATAATAGAAAGACCTCTGAATTCAAAACCATGTAGAAGTCTGTAGGAAATCACTCCACTATCTTTCTCAAGAAGTCATGGCAATTCACAGATACATGTTTTTTGTCCTTGGGCAGCAGCTGTTATTTCAAATTTGTTTATACCTAGAAAATATGAAAAATGGCTAATATTTCTTTCAAACTTTGCTTTTGTGACCAGGATAATGATATTTCTGAGATGTACCTATTCCCATTGAGGAAAACTGGCAAATGTGAACATTCTCGTTCATGCAAAGTAAGAACAAAACATCATATGATTCAAAAGTAGCATTTATTTATTCTCGGATTACACAAGAGAGATCACAAAAATTTAAAAGTGAGTAGTTTTTCATGATTTAAATTTATACTGTAAATTACTTTCATGAATCAGCCCCCAAATATAGTCTCCTATCATGTTTTCATTATATAATCCTTGATAGCAATGTTCACAGTCCAGTATATCCTGTTGAAAATGCTCACCTTGTGCCTCTGAATGTGCCCCAAATTTTCCTTGAATTTATCAAGATGAGCATCAAGGATATAGACTTTGAGGGGCATCCTGTAGCCTATTTTGCCATAGTTCTTCACCAGGGTCTCAATAATTTCCACATAGTTTTTGCACTTGTGATTACTTCAGAAGCCCCAAACCACTGTGAGAAAGCTGTTCCACATGGCTTTCTCCTTCCTGGTGGGCTTCTTGGTGAATTTCTTGCACTCTATGATCTATTTGTGATCTGATGAAGACATCAACTTTGACTTTTGCTACAGACAGCTTAGGGAAAAAGTCTTGAAGGTCCTTGAAGGCTGCAGACTCCTTGTGACAAATTGTTTCATAAGACAAATTGTTTCATAAGACCCAAATTAAAGTGCATTGTAGGAAACAATACTTTCAGGGGTCCAACAGTCGCTCCCATTTGATGTTGTTCCTCCCAACACTGAACTTTGGTCCACTGTGGTAGTGTGCTGCAGTGTCCCTGCTATTGCAAAGGCAAATATAACATGGAAAAGCCACCTTGTAGACTCATCAGGAATGTCACCATTTTGAAGTCTCCAATAACATCCCAACCATACTTTTACATTTCAAGGCATCTAGTAAAATCTTGATACTGCTGTATTCCTCTTTGAGATGTACTGAGTGGAGCTATGGGAAGAAAGGGTTACATGCTCCCATTATGAAGCAGGACAGCTTTGAGGCTCCTGGATGAGTTGTCGATGAAGAGGTGACAATCACAAGCAATTCCAATTGCCATGAACAGACTGATCACATTGTGGCAGAAGCAAAGCCCATCTTGGCTGGTGTAAATGCTTGGAAAACACTGGTGATGCTTTCTCTGACTTGGGACTTGCACACTTTCATCTAACAAATACCACTGCTTGAAGCTCAACATTGGACTATGTGAGAGCAAGATCTCTGATCGGGTTGTTGAGGTTTTTTTTGGTTGGCTTAGTATGGCTTTCTCTTCTCAGCTGTACCACTGTAATCTGTATCAATAACTTCCTCATCTGAATTGCTGTTTCTTTCTAAAGATGGCTATTCTTTCTTAGGGAGTGGTTGGGGTGGAGAGGCTCATTGGGATGATGGATGACAGAAGGTCTGGATACATGATAGCAGGTGCATTCTTGCCAGCTCAACATTTGGAAGGGTCTATCATGCAGAAGAAGCAATTGTTTGAGTAGTCAGTTGGTTCCCTCCAAATTTGTGGGATTGCCAATTTCTTGGCTCTATTTTTCCATTTTGTACCATTTTGCAAAAGAGCAAAATAAAAATGCAAATATATTTCACCCAGTGTTATTGAAAAATTCTAAAAAAAATTACATTTTTGATTTTTTTTAAAATTTCTAAAAATCATGTGCTGGATAAGTAAAATTCTGACTTTGGACCCCAATTAATGTAACAAATGTCACAAAAGCATCCTGGGTATGATGATAGACTACATCCACGTCCTGCGTAAGATGATAAACTATATCCAGCAGCAAAGCCTCTAATCAGTAGGTTTTGAGGAGCGTGGAACCACCTCTTAAGTGCTGGTGTTTCCAGATCCACCCTGATATGGGGTGGTAGCACCTGTTAGGGTCCCAGCTATGGGCAAATAGTTAACCCCGAAACTGGGGTAAAAACACTATGAAAATGTAAAAATAGGTTTTAATACCAGAAATACTTTGTAAAAAAAATTATTATCAGCAATAAATTTTTGAAAAAAAAAAAATTACCAGCAATACATTTTTGAAAACAAAAAATATTACCAACAATACATTTTTTTAAAAAAATATTACCAGCAAGACATTTTTGAAAGAAAAAATTATTACCAGAAATAGATTTTTGACAAGACAAAATATTATCAGCAATAAAAATTTTGTTGACATTAAATAACCCATTGACGTTGATATGCAAAACAAACCAAACCAATCAAAATATATATGTATACATACACACCTTTTTTTACCAAACTATCACTATGAATCTATTTCAAAAATTTGTTGGCATTAAATGACCCACTGAGGTTTTGATATGCCATAAAACAAAACAACCAAACAAACAACCAAATGCTACAAAAATATGGAATGATGAATACTGAACATCCTTAATATTCCGTAATTTATGGCTCTTGCCCAGCGATCCAGTATAGAAAACATCCATGATACATATATTTAATATATATGTTTCAATAACACTGGTTTAAAAAAAAAATAAAAATTATTTTAATTAAAAAAAAATTTTACACTTAAAAATTCCACTATCCAAACAAGCAAAACTTTTCAGCTTACCTTCTAGAGTTCTTTTGCAGATTTCGCTGCTGAAATGAGGTTCCAAGGATTTGTCTTGATTCCTGACAGGCATGCTGAAAAATGCTTTATAGGCCTCTCACATTTTAGTAGACATTGTCACAGAGTACTTTTTCGCACATTTCTCGATAAATTCACCACATACATAGAAAAATTTCATCTACCAGATACTTATAACCTCTTTATGCTATTTGCAATGAATGAATCTCTCAACGACAACGTCTGCACTTGGAAAACTAGAAGTAAATTGAACTGTTGATCTTACATTCCTTGTATTTATACTGCAATCTATGTTGTCAGAGCATTCTAGAAATTCTTGAAACATCTCTTTCAGCAATTCAGTGCTGAATCTACTGGAAATATTATGGAAAATAGGTTAGTTTCAAAGCATCAATGTACAGGTCACAAAAGCAAAGTTTGAAGAGAATAATTGTCATTTCCTTTGCTTTCTAAACAGAAGCAATTAGGAAATAATACTTACTGACCAAAGAGTAAAAAAAAAATCAAAATTTTGTAACACAGAAAAAGAATATGTAGAAAGTTTTGAGTGTTTACATCCTGAAGAGAGAAAGAATACACTAAATTGTGGAGCTAGCTATGGGAAACTACTCCACTATCTTTCCTAAGAAGTCATGGCTGTTCACAGATTGTAAAGAAAAAGAATTTATGGAGAGTCATGATCACCTATGTCCTGAAGAGGCATGGCATTTAAAAATAAAATCAGTGTATATAATATGTAATTATGTTTGTCCTTAAAGAACCAATGAAATAAAAAAAATAGAAAATATATGAAATTTATTTTATACAGGGTGTGGCAGAAATACTGCACACATATACCTGCCACATAATGGTAAGACATTAACTTGATGAAGATACTATTGCCACTAATGATTTACAATTATGTGAGGGGTATTTCTGCCTAATTGCAAACATCACTGTTCTTGCACTTTGGAACCATTAATAGATAAAGTTTTTTGATTTCTTAGATTCTTCCCAGGTAACTGATATCTTATAAAAGTTAAACTGCAAATAAGAATGAAACACTGTATCTTACAATACATAATGTTACTAATTAATATCATTTCAGGTACTAATCTCTATGAGTTGATAAAAACTGTTCAGTTCCATTTTGATCAGATTGTTGACATCACTAAACAACTTTGTATGGCTGTTGAATTTGCACACAACAAAAAAATTCTTCATCTTGACATAAAACGTAAGTCAGCATTTTAAGACATCTCTTCATTTTTGTACCAATATTTTTATCAATAATTCCTTTGTAGGTTGTGGGTAGTAAAAAACAAAACAAAAAAAATAACTTTGCATACTTTAGCACACTACATTTTCTCTAGAATTCCCTGCCACTAGATTTTTTTGAGGGAACAAAAAACATGAGCAGCTACTTTTTAAAATTGTTATAATTTTCTTTGTATTGTGTGTAAAAACTTTATTTTTTGTAGACTAATAAAACAATAGATGAGTAATATTTTGTTGCAATGCATTATGTTCTGCATGCATATTTTGACATTGAAAACAAAAAAAAAATAAACAACCCATCACCTTCGACAACTTCACCATCAATATCTACCTGAGTAATTCTCTCAAAATCATCTTCTGAATTTGAATCAAAGAAATGCTTCATTAAATGCAGGAGCGGCCATTTTTGTCTGAAAAAAAAAATCCATGTTCAATTTTTTAAATTTTCTACCTTATGTTGATTGAAAAGCATGCAAATGACATTAGAAAACAGAAGTTTAGCCCCAATCTGAATTGACAGTAGGCTACTTCCAGCTTAAAATACCAGAAATAAATATTGTGAAGTGTTTATTTTAAGCACCATTGTAGAATGAGTGGCCATGATTAAATGTAAAATAAATGACAGAACTGTCCAACAAACAGAATTGATAAAATTTTCAATAAGGAATAAAAAGAAAAGAAAATACCAGGGCAAAAAATAATATATGCAAGGTAAATTAACAGTAATAAGGCAAAGAATTTACAAACTAAGAATTGTGGTTGATACACAGGTGCAAATTTGGATAAACAAACATAGCATTCTAACTTCAAAGCAAGACGGACCGGGATTGAATCAGATGAAACTTAGAATCATCCTATCTTATTGGCTAGGAAGAAATCCCAGCATGCATTTGTGTGCTTCTGCCTATAAATTGGGAAGTAGAAAGTGTTTTGCAGTCATTCCAAATGGGATTAACAGTTTTACATGAAGAAATTTTTATGTCATGGGTATTTTTATAGGATCCCTGTGAGTATGTGGTATTGTGGTATATATCAGATTAAATGGTGATTGATGAGTTCTTGTGGTGAATGAGTAATATTTAGCAAGTGGTAAGTCAAATTTCCATGACTACTTTTCTAAATTCCTCTCTCAAGTAAATACAATGAATTTCTTGTTTTAGTCAGAATATTTGTGGAATTACAAGCAGAATTATTTGTTTGCGAAAAATAAAATGAAACATTTTGCATATTTTAATTTTTGCAATTTACAAATTCATTTTTTTAAATAGATCTTTCAAAATAAAACCATTTGTTTTTGATTTTTATTTATACTATAAAAACCAGAACACTCACAGAACAATATATAACAAGAAAGTTAAGAAATAAATGATGTATCTATAATGTTTGTCTTTAATATTTAGCCAGTGCCAAGTTAAAATTTCATGATTAGTCATGTAGTTTTCTGAATTTCCCTCTTAAGTAACCATTAGGTGTTTCTGGTTTTAGTCAGAATATTTGTGGGAATTACAAGCTGTTTTATTTGTTTATTGAAAATAAATTGAAACTTAGATTTGATTTTGGGAAATTTATAAATTCATTTTTTTATGTTGTCCTTTTAATTCAATGTTTCAAAATATTTTCTTTATCTTAAAAAAAAAAACAGAAAAGAACTCTCAAAGCAATATATAACAAGAAAATTAAAAACTAAATATATTTCTTTTTTTAATACTTAGCAAATGGCAAGTTAAATTTTCATGATTAGTCAATTAGCATTTTGAATTCCTCTATCAAGTAACGACAAAGAGTTTCTGGTTTCAGTCTTAATATTTGTGGAAATTACAAGCACATGAAGACTGTTTATTTTGTTTTAATCATTTCACCCCAAGTAAGGCAATAATGCCACTAGGATGCAGGTTATTAAAGGGAGTGAAAGAGAATGAGTAGACGTTTCAACAATTGTGCCCTCTGACCTTCCTCGGGTGTATATCAATCTGGATACAGGGAATTTCAACCTGAACCCTTTATTTAAGAACAGCCTAATCCTGTAGATTAAATAATGGGTTCAGTTTGGAATTTCCTATAGGTTACCCAGATCAATATACACCTGAGGAAGGCCATAGGGCACAATGACTGAAACATTGTGATAAAAACAAGAAAGATGAGGACAACAGTTCAAATATAAATAGTGTAAATAATGAAAAGTTTATTTTTATATATATTTAAAAACATTTTCTTTTTTTCTTTATAGCGCAGAATATTTGTCTGCTATTTATGATTCAGAGAATTGTCCTGAAATTGACTGATTGGGGTTCATCTAAACCAGACAACTTATCCACTGAAGTTCAGAGTATCACATTTTATTATGCATCACCTGAATTGTTGTACTTACATATTTCCCAAACATTGTCTTTAGGCAAAGTAAAGGAAGAAATGCTAGCTAAAGGTTAGTACATGTATTATAACAATTATCAATATCTTTGATTGTTTCACACCAAATGTAATATAAATAGGTTATACAACAGCCAGTAACTTTTGCTGTTGTTGCTGTGGCGATTGGTGGTAGTAGAAAAACACAATTCACTCTTCTTTGGTCGATAGGCCTTGCTTTATTCAGAGAGAAAAAGGTCAAATAAGAGACTGAGTTTCTTTCTTTTAAATCATCTAATCACTTCCCCTAAGGGTTTTCAGGGACCCCTAGGCTGAAATATTTCTAGAAAAGGCCCAGGGAAGATACATAACAGTGATGTGAAATTGACTGAAGCTGAGATGCCAAGTCAGGACTGATAATAATTTTGTAACTTTGCTTATATGAAAAATTACCATAATAAAAAATTTTTAATGTTGTATTCTTATTTCTTTTTAGCCATAGAATTGACCCAAAAGTTTTGTGGGAATTACAACAATATTGAAAGAGTCTCAACCAAGTCTGACTCTTTCTCCATTGGACTAACTATTATGCTCACTAAAACCAAGAAACACCTTTATGAAAGATGCAGAAGTTTCTCAAATATCTTTGAACTGATTGAAATGGTAACAAGTTTTATTCAATTAATATTCCACTTAATATATATATATATATTTCAGATAGAGTATATCTGTAAAAGGACTATATGAATAAAGACAAAAGGGAAACTTATAGCCAATTTGTTTTGTACACTGATGGACTTTATCAAGGCAAACGCAAATTTTATTTTGCAACAAGTATATAAGAGCGCAAAAATGTTATTAGTTGTTCAAGAATTTTAGGTATAAGGATGCTCATAAATGTTCATGGACATGAGGTGATACACTTCAATAAACAAAAGTGAGGTAGGAAGTATTTTTTGTGTGTATATACATATATATATATATGTGTGTGTGTCTTACCTGATGTGCATTTAATTGCCTGACTTTTTCACTAATGTGATGAATATTCATGAGCACCTCTATACCAAAAATTTTGAAGAACTAATAACATTTTTGCTCTTGTATATAAATACTTGTTACAAAATAAAATGTTTACATTTGTCTTTATAAAGTCCCTCATAGGATGAAACATGGTGGCTAAGATAAGTTTTCCTTTTGACTTAATTTATATATATATATATCGAAACACGACTGCAATTGTGCAGCAGTTTTGACATGTTTTTGGTGTAATATCTTAATTTGTATTGAGATCTCTTTTAAATTAAATGTTATGAATGTTGGAATTGTACTCTATTCATTCTCATCTTACCTGGATATATATATATATATATATATATATGCGTGTATATGTGTGTGTGTTTCTCATTTACCAACTTTTGCTTATGAGTCTTCATTCATAAAATAACTCATGCTAAATATGGCTTTTGAATATTCTCTTCCTTAGAACTTCAACAACCAAGGAATCATTTCAGCTTTTATTTTATCAAACATATTTGTATGCCTTTTAAGGTGTTTTCCATTTACTGAAGTATTTAAAACTGGTGTTGCTAGCAGGAAGTCTGGCATAACCTTTCTTAACAATCATGTTATAATTCTGCTTGTTCCTTAGTTTGCAAGTTAATTAGCATGTGCATTACACCCTGCCATTACCTCAGGTAAATAATGCATCATTCCATTTTGATTGTGAAGAAATATGAAATAAAAAGATATATCAGAGATGCTGTTTCGTTTTAGTGAGAAAAAGAAAGCCTACATAATAATAAGAAAGATAGAAGATGTGATAATTCTCTCATGCATTTAACGTCTGCTTCAGTAAAATGGAGAACCATGTCAATTTTGAATCATTTTTATAGCATTGTTGACTGGCTCTTCTGACCCATTACGGGGAAAATAAGGAATTGACATTTACTGGAAATATACTGACGATGATTTCTAATGAGTGGCTCCATTTTGATTTCAAGTCTGATACTCTGCAGTACAGGCTAAGCTAAACAATATACCCAACATACAATATAACACAAGAGAACATACTGTATACTACTATATGTCTAAACTGGTTCGGAAATTACGCTGATAGTTTACACTGTTGCCATGTATGGGCAGGAGCTGCCCCGTCTTCACTTTCCAGTTTCAATAGAGTTCAAATACATCTCTGCGTCATTGAGAGTGACAAACTATTTTCCACCCTACAATACCTTTCACACTGATGAAATGTTGCAAGCCTCTCACTATTTCCATGGAAAGTGCTCAGATGAACGACATTCCTTACTTCCAACCATTCTAACGTTCATGGCTAGACTCACGTTGCCACACACATTTTAGTGAACCACCCTTCATATTCTCTTCATATTCCATTAGTGTGATGTTAGTTCCACTTGAGCAGCTTCTTCTCACGAATCACTTTGTTGAACCGACTCCCAAGATAATGCTTCCCTAATCTTAACATGTTCAAGTCTAGAGTTAATTGCTATCTTCCCTACATACCCCCATAAACTGTGCCTCTTACTCTTTTAACCCTCTATCTTGAATGGCTCTCGGGCTTTGTACAAGATGAACATCATTGTAAAAATAAAAAGATAGCACAAACATTAGGAACCCTCATTTTACATTGTTTTGAAAATGTGTATATATTTTGAAATCGGGTGATGAAGTATTGTAAATACATATAAATAAGTACATTTTGAAAATGTATATATATGTTGACAGCAGTAAATGTAAGTCTTGCAAAGCTGTATAAGTACATTATGAAAACGTATATATATGCTGACAGCAGTCAATATAAATGTTATAAATCTGTATAAGTACATTTTGAAAATGTATATACAGAATTATTCAAAAAGAGAGCAGATTTAAAAAATTTAATAAAAACAAATGCCAAGAGATTCAACACATTACTGAATAGGAAAAGGTTCAAAGTTTATTATTTTAAGATTACACTTTGCAAATTGCAGTACACAAAATGACTTTTCTTGTGGTGTGGCCATTTTAAGGGTTAACATAAATTATAAAAATTTAAATTTATACAAAATCTGAAAACAAGCAATAAAAAGAATCATTTAAACGAGATTAAAAAAATTTTCATTTATTTTAATAACTTTGAACCTTTTCCTTTTCAATTATCTCCCCGTTTTTAACAACTCTTTATACAGTAATCCCTCGATTAGCATGGCTAATGTTTACATCGGTAACTATAAAAAAAATCAGTTTTCAATAATTAAGCTGAAGAATGTTTTACCACAATAATCAGTTATTATGTATGTATTAATTGAATTTTGGCATATAAATATTTTAGTGCACAAATTGAAAACACATTAAAGAAATGCATATTAACTGAGGGATGCCTGTATCTTGTTATTTGGTTTATATCAGGTTGATTGGCAAAAAGAAAAAAATTACCTTCATTACAATGTCTGAAATTTTTTTTCCATAGTTTTTAAATCTGCTTCGAGCTTACACAGATTTTAAAAGTAAGGTGATATTTTTTTAACAGTTTTTCTATAGTTTAAAATCTTGTTATTATTTTTTTTCTTAAACCAGTTTGCAGAAAATCCTAATGCTGCCAGAGATCTTCTGAATGATCCCGATGACATTTTAATTTGTATTATAAAAAAGTTGATTGAAGGTGACTCCCACAAAAGAAGCTCTGTCAAAGAAGTACAGAAAATGATAACCAGTAAGTATAACAGCAAATTAATTTCTGTATCATGCAATAGCCATTAATATATTTATTTTTGCATATAATACAACACTGATTTTATAGCATGACCACTGTACTACCTGCTTGGTGCCATGTTGCACATAATACCTCCTGGTAAGGTTTTTATAATCATTCCATCAGGTGGGGGTAATTGGCTCCATACTCAACCTTTGTACTTTGACAAAGAGTTGGTTTTCTGTTGGGGTTTTCTTTATCTTAAACAAACACTAATAAGTAATATCTATAAGGTTTTTAGCAATTCAGAGTTTTTCCTTCTCCTAGACTTGTTGCTAGCCAAGGCTGAACAGTACTACTATTTAACCCATAACTAGGACAATGAGATGGATTCATACTTTCCAAAAGAGTATTCATAGAAAAGTGAATGTAATGACCTTAATTTGAATTTGAACTCAGCTTACTGACTTCTCATTCTGAACTGCTAACCATTATACTACTTGCAATGGATTGTATTGATGATTTCCACTTGAGGTCTGGAATGTACTTGAAAGCCAGTAGATGTTCAAAATATGGGGCATCATTGAGAATGGAACAGAAATTAAATCCCATCAATATATGTATCATGTCAGGAGTCGTATATAGTCAGGCAAATACTGTTGAAATGTTGCAACTTCTGGCAAATCTGAAACAAGTATTACAGAACGAATAATCTCAGAAAACTTTTTGAAAACATACTGATAACATACTGCAATTTGTCAAAAAGATTGGACTTTACAGTAAAATATAAAATAATAATAATAATAAAAGATTGTTTATCAGTATTTATACAAACAAAAACTTACCTTCAATCATTCTTAACAAAAAATAAAACTTGTTTTCAAGCATACCTGACAAACAATAATGCTTATACCAACTTAACCTAACTTCTGGACCAAGAAAAAGAAAATTAAGCCTTCCAACAATAAAGTAAGTAGAAACTTTCCTTTGGTTGTTCCATCTCTGCACAAGGCTATCTTGAGCTCAACCATGAATACAATACTTATACTTACCTACCATAACTTCTGGATCAGAAAGAGAACAGACATACCCAAGAGTCATTGAGAACTTTGTTTCACTAGTCAGTTTTTGTATGCTTCTAGCTTCTTTGTTTACATATTGAACACTTGAAATGCACAACATTAACTACCATGTGTATTATTGCTGTTATTAATTCAACATTTCGGCTGATCTGTTCTTCATCCATCATCAGGTATAATATTTGAATTAACAACAGCAACTATACAAACAAGAGACTTAAGAATTTAGTATTGGATAATCTTTCATTGATTTTGTTAAATCCTGATTATTGACTCTAATAAAGATATAAATATTTTTTATAAATACTTTCATGGTAATTGTTTTGATGAACTTTCCTCTTTGGTATTTAGCCTCTATGAAATGCAGTGCTAGATTGGCAACATGGTCTTATCATTTTACAGTTGAAATGGCTACATGAAACCGTAATTTCTATGCTAACAGTTTCTTCTATTACACTTCTCATTTGTGGAACTCTCTTCCGGCTTCTTGCTTCCTTGTCAACTTTGATCTTCAAAAGTTTAAAAGCAATGTCAAACATTATATTCTGTCTTCTTACTTCTTGTTCTTTTATTGCATTTTCTCCTTAATAGTATATTTTCTCATATTCTCTAACACCCAGTAACCCCTTGTGTCTTAGTGGCTTTATTGCCTTGCTTGGGTTGAAATGATTAAAAAAAAAATTCCTGTTCATCTATGCCTATGTTCATGTGAGTTTCTACTCCCTCCCTCCTGGTTTAAATGAACCAAGAGCAGCTGAGCAATAATTTCCACGATCATATCACTCTAACATTTTGCACCCCAACTCTACTGATCTTCTGGGCTACTACTACTAAATTAAACATTGTAATGACCAAGAGCAATTTGAGGGCACCATAAATGCTAATGACTTTTTGAAAGTATCTATTATGGATGTGATGGCTGAGGTCCATCAAGGTCCATCTGTCTGGTCATGCAATGACTTCTGAGGCTGGATCAAGGCCATCCTTTTATTGAATAATCATTTTTTTTAATAAATTGAACAAATCTTTTTAAAAATATACTGATTTTTTTTTCTATTAAATAACTGTTTTCTTTGTTCTCAATTAGCTGGCACACCTCTACTTGCACAAAGTGTTTTCAGTTTTTCATTTTATTTGTTTTCAGACTATCAAAAAAACGGTTACAATTCCGAAGTCACTGAAGATACTAGCCAGTCTGACAATGTGCCACTTCCAGAACCTCAGGAGTATAATGTTCCTAATTTTGAAATGCTTTTTTAAAGCACAAAATGGATGCAACAAGTTGTAATGAATGCTTTTTTGATATTATTGATTTCACTGTTTATTTTTATTTTATTTTTTTTCTGTATCACACACCAACTGGGTAATGTTTTTACATACATTCTGTCCTTATTGACTTGTATATATGAGTTGATATTTTCTTACCAGATGGCTTGAGGTTCAAGTAAAAATTTATTATAAATGTATTATGTTTCTTGAATAATTATTTTTTTGTTTTTCTTTAGCAGTCATAACTTAATGCTTTATATTAATTCCAATTGTTCCTTTGTATCTTAGGTTTTTTTTTGTTTTTTTATTCAGAAAAAGTTTTCTTATCTTACAATGCAATTAAAGCTATATTTTTATGCAGAAAACTTATCCTTAAAATTTATTTTACATAAATGTTCTTTATACAAAAAAAAAGTATCAGTAAATCATTATATCCAAAATATTCTTACAATCTAAAAATATTTGCTGGCTTTAAATAACCTGAAAAAGGTTGATAAGCCATAAAACAGAAACCAATCAGTCAGTCCTTTTCCCATGAAAATGACAGTAACTTCAACATCCATTACATAGCAAACATTGGCTCTTAGAACCAAATGGATTGAGAGGGTGTTCACCTTGACTGTCATACCTCAGTATTGCTTTGTTATATTAATAATTAACACATGCACTGTTGTTGCACCTCCTGCATGCCACCTGGTTTTCTTCTGACATTTTTGTTACTCCTCCAATTACTAACTTTGCCATGTGTTGGAAAATTTCTTGTGTCAGCTCTTCTGGTTAGAAAAGCTTCATCATCAAAGTCATGATTTTTTGCTTTGATATTACTACTAGTGCTATTGCCATAGAAATATTTGCCTCGCTCCCTGAGGCTCCATCATTGCAGCACTTTTTTTTAAGACTTTCTAGGCATTTTTGTGTGAAGAATTTTTATCATGATAATCTATGCCTGCTAAAACTAACTTGTCTCCCTTAGACACGCCAGCTCTTCTTACTTGAACACTAAATCTTTAGGTGGAAGCTTAATTCCTTTATTTTTCACTTTGTCCTATTTGCTTTCAAAATTTATAATGTATTGCATTATACTTTCAGTATTCAGTCTTTTGTAATCTTCAAGTTATTCATGTTTCTGAATACTTCATCTTCCATAAATGGCTCATCTAACAAAGAAATCATTTTATTTAAACCTTGTGCACTTTTTAATTCTATTTTATCTATTTTCTCCAATACTGTGGATTTTAAATGTAAGAACAATGTGCTAAAGTTTGTGTAAAATAGGACACTAATTTAAATTCCAGCCATGTTCCTTTTACAGCTCTCTAAATAAATGCCACTATCATACAATATGCATCACACAGTTACAACTTAAAGGACAACTGTGAAAAGAAATTAACAACAAAAACCTCTTGAAAATGGCTAATGAAGAAGTAGCTGCAAGTGCTGGAGACAGTAGACACTATGGAAGATTTTTACACTCTCTTACTTCCACTAAATGGAAAAAATTTTAAATTCTAGAAAAACTCAATTAAAAAATTCATTAAATTTTCCTTTTCTGCCATATTCAATGAAACATGCTTGAAAGAAAGTTTGCTCCCCAAATATATAAGTGTGGATACTGATGTCAACACAGAATGGCAACAGTCTGTTTCATACTTGAATGCAATCTTCAGGCCATGTGGGTTGGATTATAGCTCAACTATATATATTAGTCAATGTGTCCATTATGGGTAGCAAGATCAGTTTTTTCAGGCATATTGAATAGGAAGAAATAATTATTTTAAATTTAAAATAACCATTTCTGCTTATTCCTGTTATTTCTGTTAAATATAATGAAATTGACTGTCAATACTCAGTGTTGACATTAGTATCCACATTTCTTACATTTACACATGCTCTATCCTGGATATAGAGCACTTTTGCTCTATAAATATAGCATACCTTAAAACTACATTTTATTTTATATATATATATAAAACAGTATTCAAATATGCATGTATATTCTATGATTTAAACTATAATGTGACTATATATTTATTGGTTATACAGCCTGATCATCCCTATATAGTAATATGATGTTATTTTTAATTTTTATGGTAAAAGGATGTATTACCTGATGCCAATAAATGTGCACGTCTCCTGTAACCATGACAACAGATTTCAGTCAATAAGAATGATTAAGCTGCTTTTTATTTTTGCTTTGTATAAGTTTCCTTTGTTTTTTTTGTTTTTTTTTTATACATTTAATGATTGTTAAAAAGCAGAATTCTATCCTCTATGCAATAGTTTCTGCAATCTTCAGGCCATGTGGTCTGGATTATAGATCAACTATATATGTATATTGTATTCACCTGTGTTGAATATTTTTTTACTTATGAAATGTTTTAGCTATATTTACATAGCTTGAAGTAAACTTAAAATAGTGTTTCAAGAGTGCAATTGAAAAAGTTGTTTGTAAATTCAAACAAACTGGATTAGTAGCAGATGTGAAAACACTATTGCATGTTCATTTATATCATGATACTTCCTACATATAATTTCTTTTTAGCAGTATGAGTAAACATGTATATATATATTCTTTTTTTATAAATATATATTTTTTATATATAATCAATTAATATAAAATGATATAATGTGTGATTATATTTTTCTAGTAAAATATTGTTTTTTTATGAATCTTGGGCATACAAATGATTTAGGTGCTGGACCATTTCGTCTAAAATTGAAAACTAGTGAAAGTGTTGCTACATTTTGCTGTTGTAGGGGACCAAAGATTAATATTTTAAGGGGAACAACAAATATTCTAGTACTGTTGAGTTCACTAATAGAATTTCAAACAAGGTTTTTAGTTTCCAACAATACCAAGAAAAAATAAGAAAGCAGAACTACACATGGTTAATAACAGCGGTAAACTTTTATATATTAACAATCAAACGACTATATGAACAGGACCAGATTATGATCTTCTGGTTTTTCTAGGCCAGTGTTTCTCAACTGGTGTTCCCAGGTGCACTCCAAGTTAATAGAAGAGTAATCTATGAATTATTTTTATATTGAAACAAATCTTTATTTTTAAAAAGTTAGAGACACCAAGAACATGCCTTCCATGTCTAAGTCAATTGACATTTCAACTGATGATGTTGTTCATTATATCTGCTGATTGTGGCTTACATATCAAGTATAATGAGGTATCCATTGATCAATTTTGGATTTCCATTGAATAAGAATATCCTTCAATAGCTAGTAAAGCGTGAATATTGTATTGCAGTTTTCTATATCATCTCTCTGTGAATTACAATTTTCTGCACTTATCAGCATTAAATGCAAAAATATATCAAATATTGAATGCACTGATGAGGAAATGATAGTATGTTTATCATATATAAGGCCTTCAACAATTGTCAAAACACAGGTTTCATGAAACATACTTAAAAAAAAATGTCTTAAAAATAAATGTTTATATCAGAAGACTTCTTTATTATTTTTCTATTTTCAAATTTTATGACATTTGTTCCTTTTTAAAATTTAAAATGCACCTTCAGAGTTTTAATTATTCTACAGGTGCACCCTGAATTAAAAATGGTTGAGAAACACTGCTCTAGGCTAATGAAATTATGGGGCCACCCTCTAACTCACCCACACCTGTGTTGAATATTTTTTTTACTTGTGAAATGTTTTAGCTATATTTACATAGCTTGAAGTAAACTTAAAATAGTGTTTATTATTTCTGTTATAAATACTCAAGAACAAAAATAATGTATAAATTCACTTTAATCATGTTGTTTAGGTTTTCTTACAATTCTAATAATTGCTTTTTACAAAAGAGACATTGCTGAATAGTGAAGGTAATTAAAGTAAAAATGGTGTTGTGGGAAAAACTGTTCTTCTGATACTTTGTTTATCTGCAGGAATGAAGATCCGTGTTTGTCATGGATCATTTGGGGCAAATAAACCAACTGACATTTCCAGTCTCTGGCTTGCTTTTTATTTGTTTTTTGAAGTGACTACCAGCTCACAGGCTTTGGGGTCTCAAAAACTAAATAGAATCATATGATTGGTTAATTATTCTGTCCTAATGACCATGTAATTTGGTCTCTTCTATGCTTGTTGAGATCAGACAAGCTCAAGTGAAACTGATATTGTTTTTCAACTAGAAAACCAAGCACAGTTATGTCTTTTTTTGTTTTTATATCTTGTTTTGTGTGTCTAGCTCACAAGATACATCACTACAACATGTGTTTACAACCTATTGATGTAGTTGTATATTATATAATATTTTATACAATTTACATATAAAGAGTATTCCAATAACTTGGACTGATTTTAAATCTGAATTAAGTTTAAGCATCTAATGATTTTTTTCTTTTTCTTTCAGATTTAACGACTTAAGTTTTTGGCAATTTCAACCATGGAAAGATTAACAATCATACGTGTTAAAGTTTCAAGAGTACAATTGGAAAAATTGTTTGTAAATTCAAACTGGGTCGGTGGCAGATGTGAAAGCACCATTGCATGCTCATTTACGCAGTTCAGCTGAAAACATTGATGCGGTGCACGAGAATGTGGCCGAAAATCCAGACACCTCTATTCATCATCGCACGCTGTAATTGAACCTCTCCACAACAATGTTACATCATTTCAAATTGCTCTCTCAGTTGGTTGATTATTTTGACAAAAAAAATCACAAAGTGTTCGCAATGCATTTCTGTTTGAATGTCCATTTTCGTAATAATGTTCATTAACTTTAACACATTGTTTGATTTTTAATCTATTCATGTTTGAAATTGCCAAAAAATTAAGTTGTTAAATCTGAAAGAAAAAGAAAAAAAAATCATTAGACTTAATTCACATTTAAAATCAGTCCAAGTTATTGGAACACTCTTTATTATGAACAAATGTTTTGTATTATATATAACATAAAAAAAAATTAAAATAAATTTTTCTATATAAAATTGTACTTTTTTGAAACTTAAAAAGCATTTTCGCTTTGGAGATTT